ATTAATTTTTTTCAAAAATTAATTAATTTTGTGAAGAAGACCAAGAGCCAGTCACGCCTGGACAGACCGCAACATCGTCTTCTTCAGTACCACGACCTCCTCGGAAAGGGTTCCGAGTACGCAAGCCCAGTAATCCATATACTCCTAGTTAGTTAGTTTTATTTTTTGTATTGGATTTTTAGATATTTAATTTGATGGTTTTGATGGTTTTCGTATTGGATTCTTAGATATTTAATTTGATGGTTTTGTGTACATATTTCGTGGTTCATTTTTTTTTATCGTTAATTGTGCTTCACTTTTTTGTACTAGATTATTAGTTGACGAATGAATTGATATTGAAGTGATATTGTTTCGTGTTAAAAATGTTAAATCAAAATTTATAAAAAATCTTCATATTCAAAGATAACAATATAAATTCAGCCAAAATAAACGCGTTCGGTAGTAGGAAGCTCGTGAGCATCCAAGAGTCGAGCCCTAACTCAAAATAAATAAATAAATAAACCAAACCAAAAAAATTAAATTTTATTATATAACAATCTCAGTCAATTATTAAATATATGTATATAGTATATATTAAAAAAAAAAACTATATACTATAAAAAATATTTAAAAAAATGAATAAATACTTAAACACGTATTTTCAGAATTCGTGTTTTGTTTAATTAATTAGCTTAATTACGAGATTAAGTGAACACGGATTTTGGTAATCCGTGTTCCGTTCATAATTAACGGAACACGGATTTTCGTGATCCGTGTTCGTAGTAAAATTACACTTACACGGATTTTCAGAATACGTGTTTCGTTAAAACACGGATTGTGAGAATCCGTCCGTTTTATTTTTGTCCACAATTTTTTTTTTGTTTTATTTTAGTCCACTTATTTTTTATTTTTTTTAAATAAATAAATGATTCGAGATCTGACTGTGAATTAAATGCAAACATAAAATTTCAAAAGGTACATACATTGCCTTCCTCAGTTCTTCCTCCCCTCATCTTCATCACAAATATATATAAACACAAACCACCCGAAAGTTTCATTAGCATCGAAAAAAAGAGAGATTTCGAATTTGTATCAAAATGAGGTCGATAATTCTAAGCCAAACACGTTCGTCTAGCATGCCCTCGAGATCTTACCCTCTAATAAGCCATGAATTCAACTTACATTTGCATACACTAAACTCCGAAAACGAACCCACCACCACTTCTTCTTCTTCATCTCTATCGTCAATCGCCAAAAAACTACACAATCTTGAAAGTTTATACGATTGTGTCGATAACTTACTCCTTTTGCCACATACAAATCAAATTTTCACCCGACAAAGGCATGAAAAATGGGTCGAACAAATCTTGGACGGTTATCTCGGCCTAGTGGACGCTTGTGCCACGGCTAAAGATTTCATCTCCCAATCGAAAGAATACATTTCGAACCTCCTTTCGGTCCTCAGGCGCAAGCGAGGCTCGGAAGATCTTACCGAGTTCATCTCCTCAAGAAAGACGATCAAGAAGCAAATCCAAAAATCGCTGAGAAAAATCGAGAGCTATAAAAAGAACTCCTCTGTTTTAAAAACAGGGGAGAAGGATCAAGAAACTATTGCAATCATCAGCGTGTTGAGGGAGGCCGAGTCGATAACTTTAGACTTGATCGAGGAGCTTTTGTCGAGCGTTTCTCGTTCGAAAGACGGTTTGAGGATAAGTAAATGGTCCCTAGTTTCGAAGGTTATGGGGTCGAGAAAAGTCTTGTGCCACGAGCATAAGAGCTCGATGCTCGAGTTCGAAGATTTGGATGCTTGGTTGAGTAGATTTGTTAGTAAATGCGAGACGGGCTCAAAAATCGAGGAGTTGAAGCAGCAGTTGAGGGAGATGGAGTTAGTTATTACAGTGATTGAAGAGAAATTGGAGTGTTTGTTCAAACGTTTGATTAAATCAAGAGTTTCACTTCTCAACATGCAGAGCCAACTGTAGTCAATAGTTGATGGTCAACTGGAGATAGTTTTTGTCATAGTAGATTTTTTTTCTTTTTTAGTCGCAGAAGAGTGTTTTTTGCAGTTTGGGTCTCACAAGATTTTTTTTTTCACTTTTGGTCCAATCAGAAGTTGTATTTTACACTTTTGGGGCTGAAATGTGATTTAGTTCTTGTGTGAAGTTTTTAGCTGCTCGTTTTGAGACTAAAGTTGTATTTTTAATAAACTTTTTTATTATTAATTCTTTTTGGGGTTAGAGTTTGGATTTAGATATTGGACTCAATGGATTAGACATT